GCATAACAAACCGTTATACTCGGGACCGACACCTCTCTGCCAAGATCCCTTGAAAATAAGTATGTCATCCTTGTACCCCTTGTCCGAGTCGGGAAGGTGAGTTACGAGGTACATGGAGGAGTCCCTGGCTTTGAGGTAGAAGTGTTGTTGAGGCATGACTCTCAAGAGGGAATAGCAAAAAAGGATATCGTTCAGCCCAACATTTACCCCGAGACGCCTATTGAGCTCTAGGACCCCCATAATTATCCTGAAGACATTAAGGCAACACTGCCCGGGGAAGAGGTGGAAATGGGAGATGAACTGGAGAAGTAGAAGGGGCAAAGGGAACCTAATTCCGCCTTCTATGATGGCTTTGGTATAAAAGGGCATTGCATCCTCGGTACCGAGGGTACGAGGGTGCACAGCCGGGTTATAATCCTCTATGTCTACATACGGGGGGATGCTGTACTTAACCCTAAATCTATTAATTTGCTCACCACCTTTTACTTTATACTTCCCTGGCCTCGAAGAACTGGCCTGAGGATTCTCGGGGGCAAGGCGACGACGAGGCATCTCGAAGAAAGTGAGAAAAAGTGGAGGATGTTTTTTCCCTTAAAGGTCCCCAAGGAAGCTTCCCGAGGATTGGTCGCTAAGTGGCAACCAGAGACACCTCCAGTTATCGGAAAACCAAAAGGGACAGAAGGACGAAGAAAGGAAAGATACTGGGACTCACCAGAATGTAAAAAGAAGTTTTTTCTGGGAAATTTGAAGCGACTCCTTCCAGAATGTTTCAGAAGCAAGGATGGGTCTGCTGGCCTTAAAACTCCGGTGAAATGGTTGGACAGTTGACAACGAAAGGAAAGGGATCTCCGGCAAAATCTCCGGCAAAGACTCTGTGAAGAAAAGTTCAGAACGATGAAATGAGAAAAGAATAGAGGAAGCCCATTTATATATAGCACCTATCCCATCATTGGGCGCGAAGCACGAAAAGGCGCATTTAATGCGCACGACGTCCTAAGCAGGGGAAAGCGGCTAGAAGCAATGATGAAGCAGTTGAGGTTGTTGTAAAACCCTTCGTCTCCTTACGACGCGTGTCCTCGGTGTCAGAAGATCGAAGGCTGGGGGGCAGTTGATGGGACATTTCTGAAATACTCCGAGATGAAGACACGTGTCCTCGGTGTCATTAATCCTTGTTACCGAGATCACGTACCCATCAGGTCACAAGTCCCCTCTCCCCCGAGGTACTGATCATGGGGATCGAGTGGCATCCAGTACGTTTATATGTACCGACACGTACCCTCGGTCTGATATGGTACATCGGTCGCTAGGCCTCCCCCTCTCGGATTCAAGATGTACCTATTCCTCGGCTCCGAGATGTACCTATTCCTCGGCTCCGAGATGTACCTCTTCCTCGGCTCCGAGATGTACCTCTTCCTCGGCTCTGAGATGTACCTCTTCCTCGGTACCGAGATGTACCCCCCTCATCCAGGATGAAGTTCTCTGCTCCAGCAGAGGCTATTGATGCACTGGTCACTAGCCTAGGCTAGGCTAGGTTAGCTATCATGACCCCGTCTTACACAATTGGTGTCAGAAGGCACAGGAAGGCAGGGGCCATAGCCAATGGGGAATGGACGCGTGGCATATTGTGTCACATCAGAGACAGAAAGACCACATGACCTTGCTGACACATGNAGATTGTAAAATTTGGAAGTCTGGCCACGAATCTCTCCCCGAAGTCCCCACCTCGATGGGCGAAAGAACCAAGTCCTCTCTGACCCCGAGCGCTTCAACTTCACCCTCTACTTCTGCCTCCGAAGCCCGGTCAGGGTCTTCCTCCAAATTCTCCTCGCCCTCTTGTCCCACCAACTGATCAAAGAGTTCAGACCACCGCGAAGGCTCGAAAGGCTAGGGAAGCTGTGAAAACTTCTTATATCCGAGAGTGTAATTCAGGAGGATGTGGGCAGCCCGGCCGAACCTGTCGTCACCAGTAAATCTCCAAATTGTGACTAGGTCGGCAAAGTTCACCAACGACTGAGGGGGAGGAGCTGTTTCCCGAGCAGGAACGTCTGCACAAACAAAAAAGGAGTCATGAACATAGAAAATCTCAAGAACAAAATAATAGACCCGAAGGAA